CCCTTTCTGAGTTTTTCATGAGCTAAAATCAGCAAGACTTTATGGGATTATGTAATTAGCTCAGAAATGCACCATAAAGAAACTGCAGGATGAAAGCTGGACAGCCTAGAAAGAAGTCAATCATACTGAGTACTTGAATAATTTGATTAAATGATTGAAATATTTTAGTGATAAGGAGCTCTGGTAGCATAGTGGTTACGAATCCGGCTGCAAACCACAAGGTCAGCAGTTCAAAACTAGCAGCTGTTCCGCAAGAGAAAGATGAGGCGTTCTGCTCCCATAAAGATTGACAGCCTCGGAAACCCTGTACAGGGTCACTATGAGTCAGAACTGACTCCACGGCACATAACTACAACAACAACAAGTGATAAGGCAGAGAACATATAAACTTCACAAAGAACAAAAAGCAGTTCAAGAACATCATAATTCAAATATTAAAAGCTAAAATGTGTAGAAAGATTCTGAATAACTGACATGAAAATGTGATGTAGACACCTACCAATCCCTTTCAAATGCCCTAGGATATACATAGGGTAAAATTCTATTATCTCTTAGTTCCATTTTTCCAGGAACTTCCCTTCAAATTGAGGGTGAGGGGGCACTCCTGGTATTGCACTGTAGGATTCACACTTGATTGCTAACCACAAGGCTGATAATTCAAACCCACCAGCGACTCCTCAGAAACCCTATACAAGGTTACTGTGAGCTGGACCTGACTGACAGCACTTAACAGCCTTCATATGGCAGCACGTATTGACTGGGACTTCCAACAAGATGACGGACTAGACAGATGCATTACACTACACAGACCCTCTACAAAAAAAATGTGAGAGACCAAATGAAACAGATACAGATGAAAATTCTGGAACCCTGAACTTCACAGGAAATGTTAGAGAGGTAGAATGAGTGCTTGTGGGGAGGAGAAGCTGAGAAGGGGCAGAAGAGAGGGAGAATGACTCCTGAATTGCCAGCCAGACACAACTCGACCAGCTTGTGTGTGAGCAGCTCTGGCAACAGAGGGTGGCCTTGCAGAGCAGATTCACACAGGTGATGGAAAGGTATGATTCCTTCTCTTTTCCCAGGATTCCCTGGGGACCAGAGGTATGGCCAGCTCTCACCCTCATTCACCCACAGCACAGACCCTGCCCTCTGGAAATTCAAAACCTGGTTGTTGGACACCACACTGAGGCAGGGCCAGCTGAGCAGATTCCGTGTGCCACTCTGGCACCTGGATTCAGATGAGCTCAGCTCTAGACATACAGAACACCTGCAGAACCACCAGATCAGCATGTTAGCAGTCTCCCTGTCCACAGATCCCGAAACCAGCTCCATTAAGGGTTTCCATGAACTACTTACAGACTGAGTGCCCTGAACATAGATAAATAACACCAAGGCCAATAGGACTCCATCTAAGGTCAGGAACTCCACTGTCACATCCCTTCCACATCCAACTCATGAGCTCCTTGCCTTGCAGGAACTCCCAGAGTTGTCTCCTCTCTGGGTCCAACAGCTGCACTGTTTGTCTGGTTTTTTGTTTGTTCATTTGTTTGTTTGGTTTTTTTTTGTTTGTTTGTTTGTTTTTGGGGGGGTCATTTTTCTTCCTTTTACTACTTCATTATTTTTGTTTATTCTCTCTCCTCCTTCTACTCTTTTCATTCTCTTGAATTTTATCCTTTATATCTCTGCTTTTGTCTTTCCTTCTATTCTTCTGTTCCTCATGTCCCCTCGTTTTCCCCCCTTTTGATCTTCCTTTACTACTCTCTAGTCTCATTTTTCATCTTCCCTCTTTCTGTTTTTTTTCTGTGCTTTTTAAAAAAATTTCTTCCTTTTATTTCTCTTATATTTCTTTACTATAGTTCCATTTCCCTGTCCCTCTTTTCTTTATAGTCATTACTTATTTTTTTTGTTTGTTCTCTGTTTTTCTTTTTTTCACTTTGTTATTTTCTCTTTTCACTGTTGCTCCTCATTTGTATATTGTTTGCTTTCTTGTGGTAAGGGGAGGTTTTCTCTTTCCCATCCTACAGGAGACAGCAACCATGCCCAGAAAGCCCACTCACAATTGTACCCCCTGCAGCTCCACCCACTGGACAAGAGTTAATACCAGCTCCAATATCGCCTGATCAATGACAGACAGAAGCCAGCACCAGCCAAACCCACCCTAAATTGAAGTGGACAAATGGGGAACAAGAATAGTGTACAAGCTTCCATTCTCTAATGACACCCACAGTTGGTGAGAGCCTAAGAACACATCAACACACAATCATCAATTAAATAAAAATATGATAACCTCACAATGTCCCAGAGACAACAGACAATGTTAGCTCACACAAAGAAACAAGAAAAAAAAACGGCTTAAGCAAATGACAGATACAGACCCAGAAAACACTTCTGAGGAAGTAAAGATAGTGGAACCAACTGAAAAACAATTCAAAAGAATTCTATTTAAATACCTTATAAGGATTGTCAGAAAGATCGAGGAAGGAAAACACGGAAAAAACTTTAGAAAATTTCAGGAAAAAAACAGCAAGAGTATATAGACAAAATATAAGCAAATTTTGAACCAATGAATGGAAATGAGAAAGAAGCAGAAAATCATTTTTGTATTTCATTTTGTGGCCTTCTGTACAATACCACTTGAATTTTTAACTCCCTATCAACCAAAAAAAAAAAACCAAATACTTTATTATTTATCAAGTCTTAGCAATTGGCTTAGGCAAGCTATTTAACTTCTTGAGCCTCATTTTATGTATATTAAAAAAAAGTACTATCAACACTGTGAGTTTATATAACAATTAAATAAAATAATTTGAGTAAAGTACTTCGCAAAATGCCTGACACATAATAAGGATTCAATAAATATTCACCTTTTTTAAGGCTGTGTACTAACCAAATGCCTGATATAATTTATTCAACCAATTCCCTGCTATTGTACATTTTTAGCCAACTTTTACCTATTATAACATTGAAATGAAAATCAACGTTGCTTTTAGTGTTGTTAAGTGCCATCGAGTCAGTTGCGACTCATAGTGACCCTGTAATACATCCTAAACTATTTTCTCTGAATAAATTTCTAGAGTAGAATCCTGGATCGACAATAGTTAATACATCTCCATATGTAAGTGGTTTACATTAACTAACATGACCATTTCTCTACCTTAATTTTTTTTTCTTAAATGGTTTGTGAAGTTAACAAGACTTCAGTAGATCATATTTATTAAAATCTTAACTATTTAGATTCTTTACTATTTAAACATCAAAATACTTACTATTCACATTTTGATTACTATTTATCTGTACCTTAAGATTCTCGTGTAACTCTATAGGGTAAGCACTGGGCTGTTAACTGCAAAATCAGCAGTTCAAACTCAACAGTAGATCTTCGGAAACCCTATAGAGTGGCTATGAGTTGGGACACACTGTGTGGCACTGAACAGTTGTATCTTACTTGGAAGAACAAACTCTCAGCGTTATGGTGCAATGTTTTCCTCAATTGTTTTATAAAGTAAGTTTTTACCTTTTTTTTTTTTTTTTTTTAACAAACTAAATTTTAAGAGAATAATTTTCGAATTATAGTTTCAATGTAAAATCAACATAATAGTTGTTTAAACACAAGACAAATATTATGTTAAATTCATAGAAATGCCTCTGATTACTCAAAACTCATACTTTATTATAACAGCAGGCAAAGATCAAAAACCCTAAAACTGAAAGAGGTTTTCCTAATCTGTAGAGATTGAGAAAAGCGGAAGAAATTTATCAGAATCTCTCACCTTCGCTGAGCCCATCAAAACATAGTTACTGAGAGCATGAGATTGTTTCTTTAAATTAACACTACTAAGACGCCCCCTTTCCTCTAGAAACTCTCATTTCCTGAAGCAACAGCATTCATAAAAAACAAACCACCTCAGCAGAGCAGCAAAACTATAAATGAAGCAAGCGAAGGAGAAATGCTGCGAACAGCGCACGGGCCAGCCAGGCCTCCCAGTAACTGCCTCTAGGATGGTGAGGGATCAACCAAGTTATGCGAAGTGACTAACTCGTGACAGCCTCTGGCGCTGGACGCCAGCCTAGCTGCTACCTCTCTCCATGTCCCACCAGCAAAGAGCCCCTGTCCTCGCCCAGGAGCCAACGTTTGCAAGTAGAAGACCTCAGACATGAGTGTAAAGTCCTGCGAAATCCTAGCCCCTCCGTACCCAACTGCGGGTTGTTGTTAATTGCCGTAGAGTCGGTTCCGACCCACAGCGACCCTGTAATCGGGTTTACGAGAAGTAGTTGGTTAGCTTGAACCGCCAACCTTGAAATTCAAACAGCTTTGTAGTCTGGCGCATTCACCCACAGAGCCACACCAGAACTCCGGGCAGGAGATAAGAAAAGAAAACTCAATCAAAGGTCAACAATTACATGGGATGTCCGCCCAGTCTTCGTCCACGGTTTGAGATCTCGGAATCTCCTACTCATGCAAGTTCCGAGTTCTAGCACTCATCCTCAGACTGGGATTGTACATAGGAGAAAACTCTTGAGTGCGATAAGTTGTTACGATGGATCCACACCCACCACCCCACCCCACCCTACCCTTTCCCGGACGCAGTTTTAAGGTGACGGAATCAGGGTCAGTAGTAACGGAGGACCTGGGCCTCCAAGAGTTTGGGGTTTTGCTGGGATTTGGAGTTAGTCATAAAACCAGAGGTTAAGGGTCACGATTAAACGTTCCCTCCTCCTCACCCCCAAGCCGGGGTCAAGGGGTGCCGGGAACTTGGGAAGAAGAGCGGCGGCCATAGTACCTGAGGAGCCAGCGTCTGTTGGAGCTGCTGCTGCTCCTCGCTGATCTTTTGCTTCAGTTTCCTGAACATGGCGCAGCACCGGGTCCTGAGTGTGAATGAAGCCTGAGGATCGGGTACCCAGGGAGTCACTGTCGCGGCGGCGCCTGCTCTACACCAGTGACTGCGGTGGACTGGCCTCGCCGCCTCCTCCTTGGGCGCTCAGGCAACTCGGGACACTAGTCCTGCAGGTGTCGGCGTCGCCGCCGCCGCGTCTCTTTCTTCCGGGTGCCACTGGCCTGCCTCGGGCCCCCATCCAGTCCCGGCGGCGGCGGCGGCGGCGACAACGGCAGCAGGTGAGCAGTACGCCCAAGGCGCCTGCGCGGCCTACGTGGATCCTGCCAAGGGAACTGTACGGAGGGCCATAGGGGACAAGCAAGAGCACGGCGCCAGCACATGCGCGTCGGAGTGTAGAACTGGTTTGGGGAACCAGAATGAAAGGGCGTAGTTCTTTGCTTCTCCACTTTCCTGGAGTCGGAGATGGTCCCTGCGGGATATAGTCGCAGCGTGGAATGGTGTGATGCCTGGCCCAACGCTTACCTGTGCTTCGATGCTGCAAAGTCAGGCTGAGTGGCTGCTGCTTTTGTTGGAGTCGCCAGGGCTTCCCGGCCCCCAACTAAGAATTACGTACATGGCCATTCAGAGTGTGAGAACGGTGGTACTTAGGGGGCCTGAAGTTTTGTTAAATAACTGTGGTTAGAACTCTGTGTCTTTAGTGTTCGATGAGGGAGTAGGAAGGGATTCTTCCCTTTTCTGAAGTCTTCCAGGAATTGCCTAAGAAGGCTCCAAGGTACAGATGTCACGTTCCTTTAATGTAAGGTATCAGGAAAGCAGAGATGATGCCTTGGAAAGAGAGCAGCTGAGGACTCTAGACTCCTGGAAAGAGAAAGGTTATGTGCTGGCAGCCAGGAGGCAGGCTTGCAAAATATCTTTAGTTTAAATGATTATATGTTCTTGAGTGTTTTTTAGTACACCCCCCCCCCAAAAAAAAAAAAACAAGGAATAGGAGCAAATACTGTTGAATGGTGATGGAGAGGATTGTTATCATTGCAATGAAATGAAATACGGTAGAATGAGTGCAAAACTGATGTTCTCCCATATAACCTATCACTCAATTCATAATAAAAGCTTAAAAAAAAAAAAGTAAAACATCGGTGTTTTCGTCCCTTGCCTTTATTCTTTACTTCATTGAAATTGTGTAGTTTCATATCATCACTCGACTGCCTTTGTTTCTCATTTTACAGGGCTCTGAAGATGCTACGCTAGGTAAAGCAATATCCCTGCCCATAAAGATTTCACAGACTAGTGTAAAGCAGAAATTCCTAAGCAGTCCATATTTACTCCTCTTACTGTTAAGTGTTGTTGAATTCTTTTCTAACTCATGGCAACCTTGTATAGCGTTTCAGTGGGTTTGAACCGCTGACCTAAATTTACACCTAACACCTGCTTCTTTAATGTTTATGTGCTTAATTTATGCAACACCTTGACCTTTTGTTCATATGTTGTTGTTTATGTTGAGGGCTGTCAGTTCCTATGTAGGGGTTCAGAAACTGCAAATCTTTGTAGGAGCCCTCAAATCCACCTCAGCAACCTACTTCTGCATGCTGTGCATTTGGTATCATCTGAAACTGCGTCACATTGCCTCAGATGCCGGAACCAGACTGGGTATACACTCTGATCTAAACATTTTAGCTAATTTTATTTACCAACATTCATAGACACAAGCTGCTCTCTAAAACTGCCTCCCTAATCACAAAACATAAAGTCCTGGTGTGACACCAAAAGATAAACACTCGACTTCAAGGTCAGTTTGAACCTCAATGTCAAGAGCTCCAAGTCACCAGCCACTCCTCAGAAATCTTATACATTACTGCTATGAGTAGGAACTGACTCAGTGGCACTTAACAATAACAATCACTAAACTTGGAGTCCTGGTGTGGTGCTATAGGATAAGTACTCAACCTCAAGATCAGTTTGAACTCACCAGCCACTCCTCGGAAACCCTATACAAGGGTTTGCTATGAGTCAAAACCCACTCAAGTGTACTTAATAACAATAACAACAACAACATCATTAAACATATTATAGCTGCAACAGGGCTGTAAGCTAGCAGTATCAGAGGTGCTCAAGCTTCAAGGGGGTTAATGAGGCTGATTCCTGTGAAATGGAGGTCAGACCTACCTCCACCAGCCAACCTTGTTACCAGTTCTGACACCAACCATCCTTCCCCTTCCCTACCACCCCTCCAGGGCACTATCTACATCTCTACTGTGTTTAATAATTTATTGCAGTGGCAACACAGAACTCACCGTACTTAGGATTGTGGGGTTTCTTAGAGAAGTTATAGGCTACAATTCAGCATCAGAATTAACTTAGAAGTAGCAAGAGCAAGACAGGATTTGTTTTGTATACCGGCTTCTAACCAAGATAGCATTCAGTTCCTTCTTGGCTGTGCCCACAAGCAGGCCACCTTCAGCTGAACTAGCCTTTTCTCAGCCTCTGCCCTTCACATGTTAACGACTCTTTAGTTCCACTGATATGTGCTCGGAGGCAACCTTTCTGCCAGAAGTCTTGTTCAGCTGTCTTGCTCCAGGAGCCAGGAAGCCCACCACAGTCATCTCACAGCACTCTCCTGGCCCCCACAGTGTCATTGGTGACACTTGTGCACATGCTACTGCCCTGCTATCTCTTACCACCCGAGACACTGTCTCTGTTACAGCTCTCTCCAACTTAATGATAGTGAGGTGATGCTACCCATTTCTATAGAATTAACCTTTTTATAAGCTTCCTCCTCCTATTAAAATCACAACTGACCACTCCCCTTGCTAGGCCACTGTCACTTAATTTGCCTGGTAATCAGCCATGCCTCACAAGGATTTTATACACTTTATTTGCATAGTAAATAGTCTAGTCCCCTTATTAATCATCTTGTCAGAACTATAAACCCAGGTCCAGAAAAGGCCATATATAAAGAGAATTCATTGCACTACAGAATACTTCCCTGACGCCCATATGATTACCAAAAAAGTTATTTTCTTTATTTAGAGCCTTATTTCCCAACAAAGATGCCTGGTGGCACAATGATTGAGCACTCAACTGCTCACCAAAAGGTTAGTAGTTCAAAACAATTTATGAAACAACTAAGTGCTGCAGAAAAGACCTGATGTTTCTGTAAGTTTTTAGCCTAGAAAACACCATGGGGTAGTTCTACACTGTCTTATATAGTCACTATGAGTAAGAATCACCTCAAAGGCACACAATAACAATCTTTCAACAGTCAAGTTCCAAAAGCTTCTCTCAGACTTTGTTGTTGTTGTTGTTGTTATTAGATGCCATCAAGTTGGTATCGACTCATAGTGACCCTATGCACAGCAGAACAAAACATTACCCGGTCCTGGACCAGCCTCTCAATTGTTGCCATACTTGAGCCCATTGATGCTGCCACTTTACCAATCCATCTCGTTGGGGGTCTTCCTCTTTGTCTCTGACCCTCCACCTTACCAAACATGACATCCTTCTCCAGTGACTGGTCCCTCCTGACAATATGTCCAAAGTATGAAAGACGAAGTTTGGTCATCTTGGCTTCCAAGGAGCACTCTGGCTGCACTTCTTCCAAAACCGATCTATTGGTTCTTTTGGCAGTCCATGGCACTTTCAATATTCTCCAACACCATAACTCAAAAACATCAGTTCTTTTACGGTTTTCCTTATTCACTGTCCAGCTTTCACATGCATACGAGGTAATTGAAAATACCATGGCTTGGGTCAGGCACAACCTTAGTCCTCAAGCTGACATCTTTGCTCTTCATCTTCATATCATAAAACATATTCTCCAGCCACAAAGAAACTAAATTAGATGCCCAATATACATCACCCCAACATGCACAATTATACAAGTTGGTAGTTGCATAGTTACACATATTTGTGTTGTTAGTTACCATTAGAAGTAATGCCAGGTTTGCAGAGGAGAACTGCTCCATAGGATTTAGGCTGGGTCCTTTGAGGAGCAGATCACCAGGTATCTCTGGACACCTTCAAATCTCTAACCTTTTGGCCAGTAGATAAGCACTAACTGACCATGCAGAGACACCTTATTAAAAAATGCTTCTTAAAATAAGTTCAGACCAAGGCTATATTGTAACATGAGTCTTAACTCTCTGCCCTTCACTTTCCTCATCTATTGTATTTTAATGATAATTTAAATGAGTGTTGTGACGCTTAAATGAGAAGTGTATAGAGTATATTGTTAACTGCCTCCCTCAATAATTGATAAAACAAATAGGAAAAATAATAGTTAAGGATATAGAGGATTTGGGTCATTCAACTTTACCAAATGGGCCTTTTTCAAATACTACACCATACTGCAGAATGGACATACTTTTTTAATACAAATAGAATGATCACCAAGATTAGAGTGTTCTAGTTTATAACAGACCTATCAAGTGCAGTGGTTACGAATCGGGCTGCTAAACTCAAGGTCGGCAGTTCAAAACTACCAGCCATTCCACAGGAGAGAAATGAGGCTTTCTGCTCCTATAAAGATTTACAGCCTTGGAAATACTGTGTAGGGTCACTATGAGTTGGAACTGATGCCACAGTACTTAACAACAATCAATAAATATAAAGTATTCATATCATAAAATATATTCTCTAGCCACAAAAAAAAACTAAACTAGAAATCCATTTTTAAAAGTATCTTAAAAATCCTCAAATAGTTGGAAATTGAGCAGCTTCCTTCCAAATAATCCATGAGTCAAAAAGAAGGCATTGTGAGAATTGGTAAATATTCTGAGTGATCATGAAATAAAATTTGTGAAATAAACCAAATGTAGTGCTTACAAAGAAACTTAGAGAATTTCATGTTCATATTGTTGTTGTTAGGTGCCATCAAGTTGGTACCAACTCATAGTGACCTTATGCAATTAGAAAAAAGGTTGAAAATCTATAATGTAATTATCTACCTTAAAAGGCTACAAGGAGAGCAAATTGAAACCAAATAGACTGAAGGAACAAAATAAGAGCAAGAATCAGTGAAGTAGAAAACAGGAAAACAATAAAGGAAAAGCAACTAAAACTAAGTTCTTTGAAAAGATTAATAAAATTGATAAGCCTCTATTAGGATATTGAGATAGAAACAGTCAATATCAAGAATTAAAGGAGGCTGTCACCACATCCGACAGATACTGTTTTGCTGAAGAAAATTCAAAAAATAGATGCAGTCACACACTGACAGTGGTGGTGGCTGTGTGCTGTGGCGTCAGTTCAACTCATCGCGACCCTGTACAGGGTTTCCGAGGCTG